CAATTTTTCTTGTTAGATATCGGTGAGTTCTCTCGCTCTCGCTGTTTTCGCGTGTATGTATGGACAGACGAAAACGGAACTTTTTCGAAAACGATGAGGACACACTATCAGTTCCAATCCACTCCGCACAATATTAGAAACTTATTCAAGATGGCGGACGGGCTCTTTCATACTTGGGCTCTTTCATACTTGGGCTTTTACTTGGGCTTATTTCTAACCTAATTGCTTGTTTTCAAATTTAATTCTTCAAGCTGATTATTCCAGGAGGCGGCAGAACATTATCAGCTTACTTTCGCTACCGGTGTAAAGATGCGGAAGGTTGGATCTCCCTTTAGTTTGACTTTGTTGTAGTGCCCTGATTTTGACATTTTAAACTGTTTCTGCGACTTTGAAGAACATCACAACAATATAAACCCACACCAAAGAAATTCAAAGATGGCGCCAGTTTATTATTTCGCGGGCTCATAATGGCGAACACGTAAGCGTCAAGCATGCTCAGTCGGGTAAGTTATCGTTTTCAAATCGATTCATGGTATACATGTGAACGGGCGTAAACGATGCGAAAACTCTACGAGTGGACGCGAATTTTTTTGAAAACGGAGAAAAAAACTTGCGTTTTCAAACAAATAAGGATGCGCGTAGGCAGGGCGTAAAATGTTCGCGTTCACCGCGCAACACGTAGTTATCGTGGTTCCTGAGCGCACGTCAGTCGATTGCTCAGATTGTTCAGAACCAAAAACTTTCAAAACATTTTCCTACTAAAAACACATCGCAATACCCATGATGATGAGGAAAGATAAAAGACATAGTGAATCGGTGCGCTGTTCTTTCACGCGGGAGAGATTTGTATGTAAAACTGCACACTCAACTGTGTTCCTTCCTTATGAAGGAAAACAGCACCGAACAAACAACAAACCGCATGGCCCTGAATTGGGCCAGGTTACACACAAAAAAATTAAAGCGACAGCAGGCCCAAGTAAGTACGTTAATATAATTTATTTCTTGATTTATGCCTATATTTCTTTAAAGTCTTTTAAACATTCGTAATATGCAAAGCAAAAAAGAAACTCGCGGTAATTTATGCACCGGGTCGCCTGTACTTGAAATGAGTTGGTTTCGTGTTTTCTCAGTTTAAAAAAATAACCGGTCTTCAGATTAGGTT